AGAGCGAGGGTGAGAGGGTGAGCTGGAGAAAGATGTGGACTGAGTATGGAAGAGGAGAGTGAGGCAGTCGGAAGAGTGAGAAAGCGCGTTAAAGAACCACTCTTGAACCAGGTAAAGAAGTTGGGGGACAAGTTAAGGGAGATCTGGTCGTGTCAAGACGAGGGCAAGTTGCGAAGGGCTGAACTCGTGACGAGAGAGTTAGAGAGTCTGTTTAGGGAGGAGAGAGAGATTATCCAGACGTGGAGATCAGACGTTTTGGAGAAGGTAAAGGCTAGAAGCGTATCACGCGACGAAACTAGTAAGCGATCTGCACAGAGCGAGACAACGGAAGACCAAGTAACGCAGGGGAGTAGCGACAGGACATGAGCGGGACTGCACTACACACGACGGATCGGTACTCATTACATGTGGTGGGGAGACTGGATGTACCATTAGTGTTAGTGATCATAGAACTCCATTCTTGGGATAGAGAGAGAACACGAGATCTGCGACCGGTACGGGATACTGGAGGTGGTAATCAAGGCAGTCGAGAGCTAAGATTGGAGGCGGACGCGAGCCGTGACAAAGAAACAGGTCTGGGTTGCCGCAATTGTCACAGGTCCGGGCTGCAGCAACTGTCATAGGGTCGGGCTGTAACAGTTGGCTAGAATACCTAACTGCATCTTCTGGCGGTCCAATGGAACCCGACACGATGGGGCCATAACCGACCATGGGCGAAGCGGGAGAAGAGTATAGGACATCGCCCGATCGAGCTCTGAGAGAACTGAAGGAACGAATTAGGCAAGAAGCACCGCTGAGATAGGCTGACCAAACCAATGACGGAGGGCCCGACGTAAGAGGCGAACTAGTTGCGACAAAGCCGCAGGAGGCTCTAAGGACGGGTACCTCGAGCGGACGACGAGAAACGACGAGACGACGCTCCCCCGAGTACGAGCAGAATGACACCATAGCGGATAGGTACAGAGACGACTGGGAAGAGAGTTTGAGGGATTCCTATTGGAGGGACAGAGATAGAGACAGGGCGCCGCCCAGGCGAGTCTTCGACCCCCAGACAGGGGAGTCACATCCGCTCCCTTACGAGAGCAAGGACCGCTATATTATTACCCACAAGGTCTCAGAGCCTCCTACCTTCAGGGGCTATGGTATCACARAATATCTGGAGAAGTGGGAGCTTCACGCCAGCCGGAGTCAGTGGTCGGAGGAAGAGATTATAGAGAACTTCCTATTTAATGTGGATCCAAGTCTTGGTAGGGAAGTTAAGGAAGCTCGACCGAAGGATGGGAAATGGACTACATACAAAGAGAACCTCGTTGAGCTTTACAAATTGGAGGATAACAAGTATTCCATCAAGGACCTTGAAACAATGACTCAAGATGAAGATGAGAGCGTACGGGC